CATGCCCGCGTCTCTGTGGCCATAGCAACAAAGCTTGTTTAGCATGCATTGCGAGGAATATGTTGAACCGCAGCTTTGCAACTCCGCACATATCTTTCATTTTCAGCAGCCCATGGACTGTCATGCACATGTTTCTTTGATGTGAATTCTTGAACGACCCCCATGTAGGCATTATTCTTCAGGTTTCGAGTCAAGCTGTTCGCCTCAAAGGTTCCCGAGGGCTTTTGATGCCCTGGGTATGATATCCGCCCACTGCATAGCGTCTACAACCCAGAGTTTGATTGTTGTTTGCAGAATCTCGCTCTAAATACGCATCCGCTAGATTCCGCTAGTAACCCCTCTTAACCGTGATAAACCCTAAACTTTGCATCTGAGACCGCGGCAAAGGAAATCTGCACCGATGCCCCTCCGAAGTCCAGGGCTCCGATGGTTGTGTCCGGGTCTGGACTGATCTTTGCCTTCTGCAGGGAGGATACTGGTTTTGGTGAGGTGCCAAGGGATATTGGAAGTTGCATTCGGGTCCCTTGATATTCAATGCATACCCCTATCAATCAGGGGGTAACAGTAAGGCATAGGCTGATACTGTAACCGGCCAACACCTGCAGCTTGCCTGCTTCTGATTCAGTGCCAGCCACCCAAAGGCACCTTCTTCCTCGCCCGACAGGACGCGCACCTTGAGAGCTTTGTAAGGGGAATGAGGAATGTACCTGAAAGCAAAGCTAGCCCCTCATAATATAATTGCAGAATGTTCCGCAACAAACAAGGGTAACTAGGCTTTCTGCATGCGCCTACAATCATAGCAATGGTATGAGGAATGAGGAAATAGCTACATGGACAATGCCTACAAACATCTGTACGTAGTATCTGTAGATGAATCTGTAGGTTATGAAGCTTGAGGTTTGGGGGGCAACAGGCCCTAACCACAAAATGGCTCCAAGGCAGTGCCGCATGCAACCCTTTGTATTTGCCTGCTCATCGCGAGTGACAGCAAAGAGGTCCTCCCAGGACACGGCCCGTAAACCCTCAATGGACTTTCTCATGTGGTTTGTACGGGGGGATTTGGACGTTTGTTTGGTGTCTTGCTGCGCGTCTTAGGATGTTCTTCCAGGCAAGAGTACATTCTTACCACGTGTGCGACCCTCGAGAAACGATTCAGAAACAGGAGGACCGATTGTTGGTGCTGAAGCGGGCCAACATCAACACTAAACAAATGATCTGAACTTCAGACTTTGCACCCATTCATCGGTGCGGTGTTGAGACCCAGGAATCTGCCCAGCCCTTCTCAGTAAGTGATGCCTTTGAAGTGCCCAATACTTCACTCCAAAAATGTCAGCAGAGTGGAAATTTGAAACACAGTGGGCGGGTTTTTGGGGAAAAGGTGCTTTGTCAGGATTCCACCGACACCAGGCTGCGTGAAAGTAAGACCATGTTCAAGTCCACCCTTGTGTCTTGAGAGCGTGAGGTATTGCCATGAGTCCTGCTTCCGCAAGTACTCCCGCGCTAGCTTCATTACCTGCCATGGGCCAGGGATGGCAAACACGACAGTGCCGGCAAGCTTTCAACAAGATTTGGTCTACCCTTGGAAGCTTTTGGTAAACGGCAACCTGAATATTGTATCTGCTTGTTCTGAGGCCCGTGTTCTTGCAAACAAGGCTTTTGTGCTAGTCTCACTGTGTCGGTTTTTTTCCTCCAAGCACACCTATCTTCCTGCTGGATTCTTGTGCGTGAAAGACCTCTACTCGCACACCTGGCAGCTGCAAAACTAGTTTTCAGAATGCAAGGCACAACTGCTCGGTTGAATCTATGCGAAAACGGACTGGAAATGCTAACGAGTCCGGTGGGATCCCGATAACCACTGCCTTCCGAGAGCTCAGCAGAGCATGGGCTACGGCCATGGTTGCAAAGGGTCAAGGATCCAAGTATCCGGATTCAGGAAAAAGCCACCAACTCAACTGAGGGTCTACATGCATCATGCAACACCAGTAACGCTAAAGTTCTTGCAAGCCACACTGCGTGGAGGGAAAGGCGCTGTGGCCTGGGTAAATCCACATGGACCACCTCTGTAACCCCTGAAATGCCAAACCCCTATTTCTGATAAATGACTAGCTATGATACAAACTTTGCAACCCGACATTGTGATCCCTAAAGCGAAAGCACAAAACCTCAACATCCTGAAGCTGGAGTTCGAAGCCATGACACTGGACACTGAAGGCGTGAGCCTTCTCTGTGTGAACCTAGCCAGAACACCCATATCTTGCTTTACTTCCTCACATTTTCCTGAACCCCACAACCACCCAAAAGCAAAGCCGAATACCTCAAGGCCTGAGCCCTCAAACACCCGATCCTAGCCCCAAAGGCCCACCCTAAAACACACACAAGTCGTAAACCCCAACTGCCAGATCCCAAATGCCACTCCCAAAGCACTCCAGTACCCCCAACCGTGAACCGTGCAGCCACAATCGGCCTCGTCCCTATCCTCATTCTTCAACTCTCGCAAACCGGCCGTAGCACCCAAGTAGAGCGGCACCTCCCCACATCGCAGCTCACTGGTGCTTGAGGGGCGTAAAGGAGCATTTTTTCAGTGTACGCTTTGGGTACGATGGCTTAGGAAGCATATGGGTACAATTTGGGGGATTGTAATTATTATGGATTCGAATATAAGCTATTAATTCATCATGGATTACTCCGGGTGAGGGTATCATCCACACACTTAGATGCCATGCTTCATGTTCCTCAGGGGGAGCAACCTACTATCAAAGGCTTTTCCCGCGCTCGCGACCCTCGTGGCCGCCCGGAGCTTCTTGAAACATCTTGAAACTCGAGTGTCGGACCTGAACAAAATTGAAGGGACGCCGAATTGCAATTGCCCCTGCCTGCTTGACATCAACGTCCGGGTTGTGCAGGAGTAGGGCCTGAGACATGCTCAAGCTGGATTTGTGGGACGTGACGAGGTGTTAGGCCTAGATTTCAGAGATTTGAGGAATTTGGAGCTTAGGTTCTAGGATGAAAGTTGATGGGGCACACCATAGTTTAGCTTGCAGTGCGCCCACCTGTTTTCAAATGAGAGTGTGCCTCTGCTAAATGTCGGGTACTGCAAGGGAAGCGTGGCCTCAGTCCACGTGACTTAAGCTTTATTGCTTTCGTTCGTTACTTGGATTGAGACCTCTACAGATTAGGCCGCCGTCCAGGCCCTCGGCGGACTGCATGTCCTTCCTTAACGGCCTGAACGTACGACATGGGTGTATGCGCAATATACATTGTGTTTTGACCTTGCTATCTGCCATAAGTGATGTCTGGGGAAGAGTTCAGCTAGCCGGGGAGCCTTTAATGTAAGTTTTGATCCTGAACCCGAGCCTTGACTCCGTTTATGCCTCTTCGTTACCTTAAGCACTGGGGCACATGTGCTAGATCGTCGCTTGCAAAAGAAGCTGACATCTGATCTCCCCTTCCTCCGCTTGCAGCCGGGCGTCATCAGCCGCGAACTGCAGAAGACCGCCCAGCTGCCTGCAAGCGGGGACATGGGGGATTGGAGCCTCACGCTGTAGAGCTCATGATGATCGTCCTACCAGAAGTCACGGGTTTCAGGTACCAATACTCATCATGGGTGCTTCTGTTCAGGCCTCACATACCCGTGAAGCTGCCCTGGGCAGTTGCGTGAGGGATGGAAAAGCTTGGCCAAATTAACTAGAGATCTGGAGCAGCAACTCTACGGATCTGTTGCCACATGTGAATATGATTCTGCTTGACTGGTTGACACCCGCCATGGAATCACTAATGATGCCACTACGCTTCCGGCAATGTGGTGTGGCACACAGGTTTAGGTTAAGGTTTCAGCGCTTGGGGTAGGATTGCTGCCTCTATCAGCTGAAGTTGCGTCCAACGCTGGAAAGGTTGACCCTCTGGCTTGTGGCAATTCAAACGCGTAGGTACTCCACTGACGAAATGCTCTGGCATGATTTGGGAAACTTTTCAATTTCCTCCCTTGTTGTTGGGGTGTGTGACGAACCAGTCCCAGAATGACATCACTCTTGGGAGCCGACCACCAAGCAGGATTAGCAATCAGAATGCTCTTTCTGTTCGTACTACCCATAATATCACTACTCTTGTTTGCAGCAGCAGTAACGACATCTGGAATTTGATGGCGGTAGCTTACGGACCCCAAAGCAGCTTAACCAGCAAGCCCAGTGAACCTCCAAATAGCAGGGCAACACCATTCAAAGCCCAGCCTCGCAATGCCCGTTGCATTGTTCACCAGAGAGGAGAGACCCGGCTTGCGGGAGGTCACCGCAATTTCTGCCGGAAAGTTCAGGGATTCGTTTTTGCGGTTCTGTAGGGGTTTTCTTGCATATGCTGCGTAACTTATGGCAGAAAAACACATTAGCATTTTTATTGTTAGCTTTTTGGGTCACACCTCGCTTATACAGCGTGCAAAAGTGAGACCAGGTAACTACTTTACAAGCATGCAACAAAGTTGCCACGAAGAGGCTTCTGAACGACTTGCCTACATCGCTGGTATGGTCATTCCGCAAAAGGTCTTATTCCGCACGCTAGGTCCGGGAGCTAAAACAACCTTAAGGTGTGTCGAAACTGAAGAAAAACCAGCAAGGACCTTGACTTGCACTGTGGATGCCTGCGGGGCTTGTAAAATCTCATGTGGCTCTGGAAAACAAGAACTTTGTATAACACGCCAACCAGCGTACGCAACACGTGACAGAAACCTCTCGGCCGCGCAGCTCAATATCAATAACTATATCGTAACGTTGCATCTATGGGGTCGGCCCAGAACCAAACCGCTTATGCTGATGCACTCTTTTGTGCTGATAATTAGACACTCTCTATTTCCCCACTGAAGGATGCTTTCCCCATGATCTGCCACCGGGGGGTTATGTCTCTCTGCAATCTCAGGACCCTGCATGACAGAAGCAGCTCCTATTGCACTTTGCTTTGCTCCGGTTTCGCCATCTGCAGCGAAGCTAAACTGTACATCAGCATCATTGGCCCTATGCAAGCGTGGAGTACACGACGGGCTTCGGTGCTCCCATTAGCTCTTTCCTGGGCGTGTACCAGGCAATAGGTAGATCCTTGAAGCGGCCTCTTGCCTGGGGCGTGCTCCATCCTTCGAATGGCAAGATGACATGTTGCAAGCGGGGCATCCTTGTCAATGCCTGACAGAAGCCAGAAGACTCAAGCGCCATGATGGGCGCATGGCGCAAGTCCAGCATCTCAAACATGCCAGCATGCAGCGGGTTTTGGAGAAATCTTAACAGGCGCTCAGAAACTTCCTTCGCAGGCGTAACCAGCACCCGCCCTGACCGAGTCCTCTTTGCAGACCTGGAGTCAAAGTGTCCCGGCACCTTTTTGCTGAGCTCCACTGGGCCAAAGACTTCCCGGTCTAGAGCTTACAACGTGGGCTTCATTTGGGGTTGCGGGTTCACTGAAGGAGTGTAAACCCCCAAAAAGAGTCAGACAAAAGGTCCGCCTAGCCAGCCAGGGCACGTAGGCGTAGTCCTGGCACCGCTGCCACGTCTCGTGGTACACGGCCATGTTGGAAGCCCTTGAAGCCGCCCGCAGCACAGCGAGGTCTGCAAAAGCCAGAGAGGCCAGCAAGCTTCGGCCATCATCGGGAAACGGAAAATCTGTCAACGCCTGAGGCTGCTTTCAGAAGCTGAAGTTCAGAGTTCCTACCATGATTAATTTCAACAATCCCTGCGCACCTGGAAGGCTGTAGGCAAACGAGGAAGGTCAGGTCGCTGCAGCCTGGGTTGTGTGAAAAACCTAAACAAACCAGCAGACAATCTTAGGTAACAGGAGTGCTGTACCGTCTGCGGTGGCTGTACAATTACAAACGCCCTAAGGACCTAAATCCTACTCTCCAATCCCCTAAACCCTGAGCCACTCATCTCTTATCCGTGACCCCCCACGACTGAAAGCTAAATGTTCGTTTTGGAATCGACCTTTTCGCAGCCCCCATATTCCCCTATGCTTCCACAGAACCCTGTGGGACCCGCCAAAGATGAAAAACTGAAAACCACAAACCCCAGACTCCTAGACCCGAAGCCCCTTACACCCGAAGCTTGATACCCTAGTTACTGCTTATACTACCAAATCCTGCATGAACTGATTTTACTGGAAATTAGAAGACCCAATGCATATTGGTTACTTCGGGGCATGCAGGGTTTTTAATATCAACTGGTACCCCTAACAGCAGGCCCGAGAGCAATCCGATCCTGCAGCGCATGCGGCCGCACACAGCGGCACCGATGCTGTGGCCCAGGTCGGACCTGCAGATGGGAGTTGGCAGGGTTTCAGGTTTTGAAGGTATGAGGAGTTTGGAGGGTTTACAGGGATTAGAAGCTTGGGGGTTACAGGGTTTCAGAGTTTACGGGTTCATAGTCTATTCAGCATAGCAAGTAAGTCTGGTTTCACAGCTTTGTAGGGGCAGGGACAATGTGTAAGAAGTCTCAACAAAACCCTGAGAACCTGCCTAACATAGAACGTGTGCAAAGAGCGCATGAACATCAACTTACTGGTGGTTGGTAGGGAATATGAATGAATATATCGTAGCTGGATTACATATGGGTTTTATTCCCTTCTTCCCTACGAACCACTAGTAACTGAAAGACTTATCTGGATCAGTCAAAGCGACCTGGGCTTCTTGCTGCCCTTGGTTGGGCTTAACCTCAGTTCTTTCTACCCGGGAAGAAAATACGATCCACCGTATAATACACCCACATACATGTTACATACATGCATGCCTGTATATATATATATACATTAATAATGGATCTTGACCCCAGTGACTGCAAGGGGGACCGCTTCGCACGCTTCGGCTCTGCCCTTGCAGGCTGGAAAGTGACTTGCATCCGGAAAGGCCCACCTGGGGATTCTCAAATTACGGGGGGTTTATGAAGATCCAATTTTGAGAAAGTTCCACCTTCCAGGGGGTTCATAGACCCCAACGGGGGCGCACGCAGCACAACCTCAGGGCTGCACCACTGATCTCCTTGCTTGAAGCGGACATGCATCTGCGGAGGCTGCTGCTGAGTGTTGTCTGGAGCTTCTGGCTGCAAATCTGCCAGAGCAGTGCTCGAGGAAGCGGGTTCATGTTGTGAATCTGAAGCTGGGCCCTCTGCGCTTTGAAGGTTCTGGCAGCTTGCTCTATGCTTCTGATACTCACTGTATTCACCCGTCCAGTTGCACTGTCCGGTGGGACCTCGCACTTTGCAGTTGTTCTCGCAAACAACCTGCAGCTTGTGCAGCATTCTGAGAAGAAGCTCACGTTTGCCGCTCTTCAGGGGCCACAGATCCTCCCAGGGTCGTCTTGCTCCAAAATGAAAAACCCGCAATGCGCAACAGGCCATGTATCCTCTATGGGGGACCTCACACCGTAAACCCCCCAAACCTCCTTGTGCAACACAGTGTTGCAGGCGGGGCATGGAGCACCTCCTGAGGGTTTCTCAAAATCAGAGTACCGTCAGGCATACATGGCATGTGGGGGGGTTCTGAAAGTTGCTGCATCCTTTCTAAACGGGTCCCTCAATTAGGGATCCTACCATTCCGGCAAATTTTTCCGGATGTGTGTCTCAAAGGTTAGGTCAGGGAATATGTTCAGAAACTCTCTCCTCGCTTTTTCCCGACCCAATGCTCAATGCAGTCCCCGCAGAAGAGATGCTGACAGCTCGTCAGCCGAGGGCCGCGGCCCACCTCTTGCTGATTCGGACCCCATTTAAGGAGCTAATGTTCTGATAACATCCCAAACCCTAGACTCTAAACCTTTAAGCAGTACTTGTAAAACTTGTCAAAAACAGACCAATCACCAGGTGCAGGCAAATGCGGCACACAAACTCTTGATCTCCTCGATCCAGAAGCTGCTCCTCCTGTTGGGTTTGATGGGGGCCCTGATGGGGGCTGATGGGTTTTAGGGTTTGGGAGTCAGGATTTGGGGCCGGGGTTTGAGGGTTGAGTGATTTAATGTATAAGGATTACGGTCTTTGGATGTTTTAGCGGCTTAGGAAAGTAGCCCGGGAAAGAGTGGATTTAAACGCTGTGGCCAAGCCCCTCCCTGATGACAGCATGGGCATCCTGTATCTTGAACTCTTTGGCCTCCTCCTTGTCTAGCCCTTGCTCGTTCCTGTTGCATGTTTGGAGACCCTGCCACATGAAAAGCCGGTGTCTATGTTCTTTGAAAATGTATTGCGACTATGCGTTCACAAAGCTAAGCAAATCTTTGCCAAGGTCAGTACCCAGCTTCTGCCCCCTTTTGGCTTGGCGAACAAGCCGCAAACGAGGCTTTCGGCTGCAGGCAGGCTTCGCCTGGGCGTTTCTCAGGTTCATGGGGCCCTTCTGCGGCGTGTTCTAGAACGACACCTAGGCCCTACACTTAGCAATTGAAGCCATACCCCAAACTCACTGCAAAGCCTACACCCTAAGCCCTTCCTGCTTCCTGAAACCTCACTTTGGAGCCAGGTCCCGCCTGTCCCTGGCTCTTCCTGGACCGGGAGCCTCCTGGAGCTCCCGATGCAGGATTCTTAGGCTTGTCCTCTCAACGTGATGTAGGTAGGATTGTGCAGGTAGGGTTTAGGAGTGAGGGTTTGGGGTTTAAGGGGTAGAGCTCAGGTTTTAAGCGTTTAATTTGGTTCTTAGTGGTTCAGAAAATGCCCAATTGCTTGTCAAGGATCCTAGCCTTGGTGCGGGCTCAAGGTACTGACATTCCAAACTTAGTAATTTTACGCAAAGGCTGGTTCACCGGTAGTTCTAGTCTAATGGAGAAGTATTAGCATCCGAAGCTTGATAGATTGGGAGTAAAGTTGTGATTTACCCCCACTTAACACTCATTACCCTTGAATCTTCAAGTAGGGGACTTTCGATTCTAACCTCTAGCTTGATTGATTGTTGTCCCATCTAGCTATGTATGAACACAAGCAAGTCGCGGCTCTTGTGGACAGCCGAGCTCTAGGAAACAGCCGCTCCTGCTTGGTCTTCTGGCTGTCCTTCCTGTCGACAGCTAGCCTCGAACGCTTCCTCCGAATCTTCTGAGGCCTCTCTTCTGGACTGTCCACGGAGAGTGGCCTCTTCCTTTTGACTTCTTGGCTTCGTGGCGCGGAGGCCTTGCGCTTCCTTGCTTGTTTCGTGCCCTGGGGCCTCAAGCGGGCCTGCCGACTGCGACAGGAAGACTTGCTCTCCACGAGCTCCTTGGAGGCTGCAACTTTCCTTGCCGTCCTGGCCGGCTTACTGTTCCTCGGTTGGCTCCTGGCTCCAGCTTTGCTGGCCTTGGCCTGCGAAGGTGATGCATCTTTCTTCGGAGAGGCTTGCCCTCTGTCGGAAAGTCCTGCCTTCTGCTGTGAAGGCCTGCCTGTGTAGAACGGTTGCATGGCGGGGCTTCTTCTTCGGGCTGCCGAAGCTTCCTTCCCGGGGCCTTGAGATCCCTGGGATCCACTTGGTCCTGGTTCGGAGACTTCGTCTTCAAGGTCGATAGTCCGCCGACCTGTGGCCAAACTCTTCCACTTCCGAGCTGCCATTCTTCGCTGCCCACCTCAGCTTCACCGGGGCGGCAAGGGATCCTGCGTCATGGCGTAGAGTCAGGACTAAAACCTCGCGAATGAAGTAAGAACCTGCGGTAGAGCTGCGTGCTGAGCACTGTGTGATGAGACTGCTTGTTCAAAGTTGCCATGCCTTCTGAACTTGGCGCTATACTTTGCCTACATTCATCCTGTGGAGGCCTGACTGGACAAGCTGCACTGCACAGAGATTTCACACAATCCAGTGCTGGGACCCTGCTGTCTGACACCTACACACAAAGTTTCAGACATCCCGCGGGCTTTCATATACGATCAGGGACCCCGTTTCGGTTCGGAAAGCACTATGAAAGCTGCGAAATTGCCAGATACCAGTCTCAGCTTGTTCCATCACACTCGGTACATAAGATGCACTCATCATGAGCATGATCTCAACTCCTATACAAGATCCCACCATCAAAGCCCCAAATAATTATTGCTCTTCAGCTTCCTATGATGCAGCCATAACGGGTGGTCAGCTGTGCTGCCAGAAGACGCCGGTACGCGCCCGACTCAATTTCTTATCTCCGCGGTCCTGCCGTCCTTCTATTGTATCAGTATTCGCCCGTCAATACTTTGATGCTTCCTAGCGAGAACCGGACTTTGCATGTACCCACTCCAGCTACAGCAGGGGATCTCTTTGCTCGAATGTCTGCACTAAGTCAACATCTAGGCTTCTAGCAGGCCTGTGCCCACAATTTCCCTCTTTCAGCCCAGCTAACCCATGGAGGTTGCTTTTTGCAACGTTGGTATGGGAACCATACCTGTCATCCCTGAGCTCCCAAACAAGCATCCACATGAAGGCATTTCCTGAAGCCCAGCCTGAGGGGAGCGTCAGAGGCGGGCTGACAATAAGGGGAAAGCGGCGAGGCTCAAGCTTCCGATACTCGTAGTTGAAGACCTGGTTGGTTTTGGAGGTTGCGGAATGTTGCGGAATGTTGCGAATTCTTGTAGGGTTCAGGGGTTCAGGATTTGAGGATGCAGGGTCGACTTTGCTGTCAACTCTGCAGCGACCAGCCAAACGTGTGTAGTGTAAAGCAGTGGCATGTCTCAATGTGGACATCGTTTGGGCAAGTCTGCGACCGACAAATCCAGACTCAAGTAAAGACAACTGTGCCGGGTGAGACCCCCAGCCCCACTGTGACCCCCTCTAAGGGGGCTGATGACACCCGACTTGAGAATTATGCGAGGATGAAAGTAGGATAACTGCGTAGAACCGAATGTAGGGCGCGTTAAACGAAACTTACAACTACCCGTGAGCCTCAAAGTACACAGACACCCTGACGGGACCTGATGCGATCAGTGCGAACCTCTTTAAAAACATTCCTACACAGCTGGTGGAGGCGGCGGGTGGCGTTACGGAAGCAAGCAGGCCTTAATCAGCTGTTCAGACATTCTTCAGGTAAATTCACTTAAACTCACATAAGAGGTTTATCCTGCCGCTCATGCTCCTTTCCGCCTGGGACATCCCTATATCCCTTGGCTGCGCAGGCGTTCTGGGCAGACACTCGCGGCACACGCAATGTCTGAGCCCCAGGCATGTACTCTTGTGCCTGTGCTGCCGGCATCGAGGACCACGACGTATCCGGACCTTGAGCTTTGAATTGCAATTTCTGTATGTACTAATGTACATGGCCAATCAGCTCTGGTAGCCCTCCAGGAGCCTACCGGGAGACCCTCCCCAGGTAAAGATACTGGGATTTTTAGGTGTGCCCCCGTTAGCCTCTAGACCCCCCCAGCTAATGATACTGGCAGTTTTAGTTGTGGTAAGCCCCCCGGTAGCCCCCCAGCAGTCTACCGGGAGACTCCCCCAGCTAAAGATACTAGCATTTGCGGCCACTACAGCATGATAACAACACATTGTTGTCTCTCATCAAGCAGCGTAACAAGAAGAGGCCCAGGCCCACTAGCATCCAATCTAGGGCTTTCCTGTCATGAAATACTCCAACGCCTCCGGTTACTGCGGTTACTCTTCACAAACATACCTCGCGCCCGCAAGCGTGAACAAGCCACAGACTACTGCCAGCACCACGATTTGGACCACCATGAAACTCTACACTCTACACCTCGTAAGCTGGTTCATGCGGGAAGTTCCCAAACTCAAAGAGCACAAACGTGTCCCACGTAATACGAAACATAGCACCCACATTGGTGAGAATCGGCCATGATCTTGCGACTGAGCTCTCCACGTGTCAGTGCACAGCTGCGGATACTTTTTGCAGTTGGGCACCTGCCCAACATGGTCAGGCCTCTATCTTGCGGGCTTAGCATTTACAGGGTTCAGGGCCTGGGTGCAGTTCAGGACTCTGTGGGGACTCTTGTGATCTTGTAGTAAGATTACGAAGACATCTCTTCTGATGAGTTGTCCTTTCAACACAAACTTTTCTTTCGGCCAAAGACCCAAAGGAATTCGGGCTTCTCACATCAATGTCTGAAACCTGCAAAACTCCACATAATTCTAACTTGCAGGAGTTCCTGTGGCGAAGCTGCCTCGGAGTGGCTCACTGCAGCCGCAATCAGCAGGACCCATCCTCTCAAAGTCTGGGTTGAGGATGCTGGGTGTGGATGGTTGACGCTATATCCACGTGCAGCAGTGACATACAGCAATGGCAATGAGTTACGAACTGCAGCACGCGCGCAAAGCAATCTTTGAAAATTCTTCCTCGGTGGGCTTCTCTGCATCTCACACAACTCGCATGTTCGAAGGGCTTCTCAAGTTTCACTCCATTGCTTGGGAGACTCATACTTGTTTGTAAGTTGAAGGTTTGGGGCTTATACGCGGCACAGTACAGGGTCATGCATGTCCGGCAGGCAATGAAAACTAAAAGGAATCCAAATCCTACTACAACAGCTGCCTGCCAGTCGCCCAGCCAGCATGCCGTCTTCTCACACATAAGCAGAGGCTCCCACTACAGTCACTAGACTTTGGAAGGCTCATGGGCTAGTTTACTGGTTCCCATCTTCAGTGTTGACCCTGAACAGTGAGGATTTGGTGACTTTGAAAAGGCCTCTTGAAAGCTCTTGCAGCCCCGCTTAGAGTCTCTATCTTCCGGGAGAGCATTGTCTTGTCTGGTTCTGTGCATACGCAGGTCCTCGCAGAAGTCCTGACCAAAACCCTATGCAACATGTTGCATCTTTGACGCTACGCATAACGCTGGCAGTAAGCAGAAAATGGCAACGGGCGCGCGTCTATCAAACTCCTTGACGTGTGAATATCTGTACCTGGCTTGGGCCAAATAAGCAAATCCGAGCCTCCCAATACCTCAAACATCGAGGCCCCTCGCGCTCTTTGACCAGCAGCTGCAGAAGGAAACGGCATGAAAGAAAGGAATTCCTCATGCTAGCTGCCTGTTTGCTCACTACTATCCCCGAGTTTAGCACGTCACACCAGGAAATGTCTGCATCTTGGTGTGACCGACAAACACCTTTCATGAAGCTTTTAGATGGCATCAAACAGGATCTCCCTTGGCATTTATACGAACATCTGATCCGATCTGCTGCACAAATAGCACTTTGCTGTCCTTCCATGGGCTAGTTGCGCAATCAAGTTTCTGGCAAATCGAAGGCCCAGAGTTTAGGGGATGGGGTAAGATTGCAATACTTCGCTCTTCTCCTACGTGAATGTCGCGCAGCTTGCTTTTGGCAAGGCTCCTCACAAGGACCGCCCATGGACTTGTCACAAGTGCTCCTGAGACCCCTCTCTTTCTGCTCCAACCGCTTCGGATAGGCCTCAGCTTTTTGCTCTTGCACGCGGCGCAGGGTAGATTCCTAGGGGTGCCCTGACAGGAAACGTCCAGCTAGCATGTCTGCATTTCCCGGTCTGTGTTTGTGTGTGTGCGTGTCAAACACCTTTCATAGAACTTCAGAGGGCATCTCCTGTTTGGATCTCCCTCGGAATCTATCCAAGCATCTGATCTGCTCTGCTTCGCGACCAGCGTTGTAACTGTACAAAGACTCGCCGATTGTCGCCACGCGGAACACGATAGCTAGCAATATCACACGCGTGCTCAGTCTTACGCAGATGCGATGCCACAGGTCAAGCCCCGAGATACAGCCTTGACAACCGCAGGTGCATGAGCATTGCACGAAGTCAAGATCCCTTCTTACCAGCTGAAACACTTGCAAGAAAGATCCAAAAAGTCAACCGTACTTTCGAGGAGCCCCGGCTGCAGTCCTATAATCCTAGCTTTGAAACATCCATGCTTGGTACTTGAGGGCAGCTTTGGCGCCTCTCAGCCGCACGTTAACAAAGTTCCTGCCGTGACTTCACAGATGCCAAAAGGTCAGGGCTCAAAAAGCTGTGGCTCAAGTTGTGGGGATCCCACCCCCCATGCTGCACCGCAGTATCCCCTACACGCGTAGCATTATTCCCAGGCGTCCGGGAGTTTTGGTTGAGGCCACATTGCAGCTCCCATCCTCATCCACTGCTCTATAGATGTAGGCTTTGTTGTAGGGTAGTCGATCCAACAACCCTTTCAAAAACGGCCGCTGCGGAACACGCCTTGACACAACCCTGCAAGAACCGCGAAGGATGTCTGCCAACAGGTCAAGATCCTTAGAAGCTCCCTATGCTGTTTCTCAGAACACGAGCCCGCCTTTTGTGCACTAAAGCGAAATCACTAGGGCAGGGCCTAACATGAAAGGGCAGGACGCCGTGATGCGGAGAGATCCCCATATTCAACCCTTAGACTCCTGCTTGCTTGCATTTGTTTCCTTCATAGATTCAGGCGATCCAAACGGTATCGGCCAGACATTGGGGTTGCTCATAGAAGGACCTCAAGAAGACAGCTTTCGTCACCATGCTGCCATCCGAAAGTTGCAACTTGCCGGAATACCATCCCGCTACATACCCCATCATCTTCATTGGATCCTTGTCTAGTTTAAGGAGCCCCTGATCTGAACGTCCACTACGCCCTGCACCCGAAAAAAACACCGCCCATTTTGGAAGGTCTCTGCAAGGGGGGGCCTTCGCAAACCCGCTGTGTCAGCGCAGCAAGGGCTCCCGGAGGTGTGCAAGACTGGGCTCCTCCCTCCGCCTATACAGGCTTGGGCAGGAAGAGGGGGCGTCTACAGCTACACCAAGATACACAAGATGACTGGCTTCAGAATGATGACTGCAGGCCTTTAATTGAATTGTCATTGTCTTAGACATGCTGAGGAATCGCGATTTTTCAGTGGTTGGCAGCGGCACGTAGGTAAGTAATTGCTGGTGTCTTTAGTCAGTCTAAACCTGCATCACCGTACAGTACTATGCCCGCTCAAAACTCCTCGCTTACAATGTGAAGGCCCTGCAAAAACCTCACCAGGCAGTCGGACTTCCTGCACGCCTACGTTCCTACATTAGGTCCCTTCTGAGAAATTCTCCCAAAGCAGGGCCCATGTACACTGCACATCAGAATGGCCCTTATCCATCCTCATGGCAGAAGAGTCCCATGACTTGCGGAAATGTCTACATCCCAAGCAAATGGAGCAACTGTTTTTTTCCTGAGGGCAAACCGCCAGATACTGGCCATGTACCGGATGAAGTCGATGGAGCATCCAAAATGCAGGAATCCACGTATGCACGTTCCCACCCAAAGAACCCCAGTCTTCAGAGAACGGTGCATTCTACCAGATATCTAACAGCTTAAGAGAACTCTGTTGTGAGATACGAGGTGTACCCAGTGCAGCTACATAACGCATTGAAGATCATAATCCGACACAACCTTTTGGCAAGAAACACCTCGAGTTCAGCGCTACGCGACTGGATCTGTTGCAATCTCCATGAAGGATTGCCAGCATGAAGGTAGTGAACAAATGAGATAGGAAAAGGCCCACCTGGGGCTATCGGGAGAAATGACGGAAGAGTCAACACAATTTGCTTTTGGTACACCTGACTCTTCTTCAAGATTGGGCTTGTTTGTGACCCTACCTCTGCAAAGTTTTGGAGGACCGCCGCCGCGCAGGACTAAGCGAGGCTTCAGCAACAACCTGCATACGGCCCAGCCATAGATGAAAGGGTTTAGAGTCTAGGGTTAGGGATTCTCAAGTTAGGGGTACCATTATGGGGGGTACCTATAATAGTTACTATTACGTAGATACTGGGGTCTGTAGTAAGGGTTTGGGGTTCGAGCTTCTCAAGGAAGGGCTGGCTTTCAGCTTCCCTGGATGTGTGGGAGCCAAACCCACAGTTTGCATCAATGAATCTTGCAAGCTAGGATCTTCTACGAGTGCGATCCTCAAGGCTTGTTTTGGGAATCAGCCAGACTCTGAAACCCAAGCCGCAAGCAACAGTTCTGATCCAGACCGCTTTGAGTTCTTGGAACTAGCCAACTAAATACATTAGTGCGATTATCCCGCGCGCAATCTCTTAACGAGCCTGAAGGGTTACCACAATGATGAGTAGGGCTTTTCCTAAAATTGTGTTTGTGTACAACCTGGAAGCCTCCGGCACAGCATCCCCTAGATGACCCAAAGTCCAACACACCTTTAACCACACTTTTTCGCAAATGGCTCATCTGACAGGAGAATCCAAGGCCCCTCTGAGTAGGGTATCGTCGTGCTGCTCTGATCTAAGGCCCAGGCTGTTCTACAAAACTGTTGGTTGCACTGGGAATCAAGCCCCCAGACTGAGAACATCCCGCCTCGTCTGGCTCCGGCAGTTCGCGGGGGCTGCTGTTCGTCCAGAGCGAGAGCAGGCCTGGTTATGGAGTCGCGAGAGCCCAGGCCTCAAAGTACCTTTTGTAATAGTATACTGTGCAAATTCATAGGCTTAAATCCTGAAAGTTTCAAGCGTGTAGGCGATGTCTTCGTTTTGGTGGAATACCTCGCACTGCCAGGGAGTGCGGTCTTCCACTTTCACAGGGTCAGGCCTTGACACGACAGGTTCAACTGGAGCTGGAGGTGCCAGACTGGGCTTCTGCCCAAGCTGGAAGTCTCACCATGAGCACGAGGATACTCATGATTTGCAGGCCAGGCTTGTGAATTCCTAATGAGTACGCTCAGCATCATACGAACAAGTACCTGCTCCAACTTGCTGTGAGAGAGAAAGAGAGAGCGAGGGAGGGAGGGAGAGGGATAGAGAGGGAGAGAGAGAGGGAGTGCTATAGCATCGTCCGATCGAACGATGCAAATAGCGTCCGCGTGTATTCCTTTTGTCAGCGATGTTCTGCTTCAGAAGCTGTTTGCCGTGAAGAGCTGACCGTTCTAAGATATGACCTTTGCTCCTCCGGGACTCCTCCTGGTACTCCTATGTGTGATGTGGTCGCTACAATGGATTGACGGAGTCTCGCACCATCCAGGAACCTAGGACCCATTAAACGCTTTCTTTCTTTTGTGCAGGACATGTCAGGCGGTGCAAGATTTCCTTCATCCACAGTATCTTACAAAGCCCCCAGCAGACGGCCAGCGCAGAGGCCGCGCCAATACCCACCGTCCTGCCAACAATCGAGGATTCAAACAAGATCGTTGCCGTGGTAGTGGGACATGTTTATACTGTTGAAATGCATTTTCCAACATGTGGATAAGGTCTTGACAAATTGCATTGGGGTAGGCTCCGTGCAAGGCGCAGAAGCGGAAAATGCTGAGCCAAGGGCCCACAGTAGACTTGCCACAGCACCTGTGCAAAAGAGGTTTCGCATTAGCCCCCAATTGAACTCAACCATGCGCGTTAGGGGAGGGTAGAACTACTCCAACTGGGCGGCCGACAGCAAACTTACTAAGTAACATCGCATGGCATTGACACCT